GGACCTTCTGGCTCTGCAATCCCTGACAGGAGGGGGGAGCCGGGGGGGGGTCGGGCTCTGCTCCCAGGGAACAGGGACAGGAGGAGAGGGAACGGCCTCAGCTGTGCCAGGGGAGGTTTAGTTGGATATTGGGAAAATTCCTCCCGGAAAGGGCTGTCCAACCCTGGCACAGCAGTCCCCATCCCAGGGGAGATTTAACAGCCCTGTGGATGTGACACTTGGGGACACGGTCAGGGGTGGCCTGGGCAGTGCTGGGGGGCTCAGGGAGCTTTTCCATCCCAACATTCCATGATGCTGTAAGACCCCCTGGGCCCTGTGAGCGCTGTGTCCCTGTGCCCCCTGTGTGCTGGGGGGGGACATTTTCCCCTGGTGCCAGTGACCCTCCCTGTGGGCAGGTCGGGGGTTCCCTGGCCCTGACCTCCCCCGTGTCCCTGCAGTCCCAGAATGCCAAGGCCGAGGGCACATTCCAGGTGACAATGCTCCCGGGGGATGGAGTGGGCCCGGAGCTCATGCACGCAGTCAAGGAGGTCTTCAAGGTAAGGACCCAGCCCAGCCCCACAGCCCCTCCTGCTGTCCCCGGGACAGGCTGGCACTGCCCAGGGTCCCTGGGTGTCCTGGTGCCCTGTCCCTCCCTGCTCAGCTCGGGGCACTCGGGATCCATCCGCTGGCTGTCACACGAGCACAGACCACAGTGGTTACACTGCTGGAAAATCCCTTCCTGGAAAACTCCTGGAAAGGGCTCTCCAGCCCTGCTACAGGTTGCCCATGGCATGGGGAGAGTCACCAGCCTTGGAGGGATTTAGGTTGGATATTGGAGAAATTCCTCATGGAAAGGGCTGCCCAGCTTGTCCAGGGCAGTGGGGGAGTCCCCATCCCTGAGGGGATTTACCTTGGATATTGGGAAAATTCCTTCCTGGAAAACTCCTGGAAAGGGCTGTACAGGCTGCCCAGGGCAGTGGGGGAGCCACCAGCCTTGCTGTGGGATTTAGGTTGGATACTGGGGAAATCCCTCCTGGAAAGGGCTGTGCAGCCCTGGCATAGCTGTCCAGGGCAGGGGAGAGTCCCCAGCCCTGGGGGGATTTAACAGCCCTATGGATGTGGCACCTGGGGACATGGGCAGGGGTGGCCTGGGCAGTGCTGGGGGCATCTCGGAGGGATTTCCCAATCTAAATATTCCATGATTTTATCAGTGTCACTGCTCCATTGGGACTGAAGCGACCCCAAGGTCTAGGGTCAGCTTTCCATGATCCCAGTTCCCTGAACGGGGCCGTGGCTGGGTCAGGGCTGCAGGACCCCCCTGTCCGGGCAGTGCCACGTCCCCAGGGCTCCCAGGTGACTCTGTCCCTGTGCCAGGCTGCCAATGTCCCCGTGGTGTTCGACGAGCACCACCTGAGCGAGGTGCAGAACACGGCGTCCGAGGAGAAGCTGGACCGCGTCGTGGACTCCATGAAGGAGAGCAAGGTGGCCCTCATAGGTGAGCTGTGCCCGGGGCACCCCTCCTGTGGGCTCAGCCCAGCTCCTGCTGGCACTCCAGGGCTCCCAGGACAGCCCGGGGGCTCGGTGTGTCCTCACCCTGCCCCCTGTCCTCACCCTGCCCCCTGTCCTCACCCTGCCCCGTGTCCTCACCATGTCCTCACCGTGCCCCGTGTCCTGCAGGGAAGATCCACACGCCCATGGAGTACAAAGGAGACCTGGCGTCCTATGACATGAGGCTCAGGTGAGGGACAGCCCTGTCACCTGCCCGGTGCTGGGGAAAGTGTGTTAATTAATAGTTAATGAGCCACTGGGGATCAGCAAATCTGGAGGGACTGGCTGTGGGCTGGGAAGCCAGACTCCTGAGGGACCATCTGTGGCCCTGGATCAGTGTGGTCCCGCTGCCTTGGGGGTCCTGGAGATGGGGGTGGCCCCCAGAACTCACAGGGGACAATTGCTGGGAAAACCCCACTAATTAATAATTAATGAGTAATTGGGAAGCAGAAAATCCCAAGGGACTCTCTGGCCTGGAGCTGTCCCTGTGCACTGTGATCCTGATGCCTTGGGACTCCTGGATGGGGGGGGTGCTCCTTAGTACTCATAGGGGACAATCACTGGGAAAGCCCTATTGATTACTAATTAATGAGTTATTGGGGTCAATCACTGGGAAGGCCCTATTAATTCCTAATGAATGAGTTTTTGGGGTGTCATGATTGTGCTCTGGGTCAATTTTTCTCTCACCCCTCCCCACAATTACTCTAAGTTGAGAGAAGGCTTATGCAGACAAAAGAGATCTGATTTGGGAAAATAATATTAACATTTATTACTAGCAAGATAAAAACTAAAGAACTACATCTACAATAATTCTAATTAGGTAAAAGCACTCTGTATTTACAGAAATACCCCTCCCTGCTCTATATCAGTCCAGGAGGAGAAGCAGTCTCTGTTCCATTTCCAGAGCTCCAGGTCTTTTCAATAACTCTGCAGCACTGGAGAGCTCTTCTTGTGTTACCTCTAGGACGACAACTCCTTTCCGTCGCAGCTGGAGCTGTTTCTCTTTCTCTCTCTGTTTTCTGTGTCGGCCTCAGGGCTGGGCCTGCC